TTTTAGCCCATTTAAACTTTATTGACCTGAAATAGAGAAAAACACAAATAAGTACTAAAACGGGAAAATAAAGATAGATAAATGGACTAAAATACCCTCGCTTAGGTGCTAGAATGAGTCACATTTGAGCACTCATGACTCCCATTTTTATATACGTTAATAAACATATCAAGGCCTAATTTAATAGCATGCCATAATTTAATTCTAAGCGATATACAACCATGAGAATTAAATCTTATACAAAGAAAATAATTAAACTAAATTCTAGATAAAATACCTAGGCATGCATACAAGTTATATAAGCTTATAAAATAATCAATACGATATTTATTTAAACCTAAAACATCCCCTACGTCATTTTGAGATTAAATCTCAAATCCCCACCGAGAGAAAACCGCTCTGAATCCGACGATACTTTTAGGTTATGTCGGGGACTACGATGGAAGTAACTTAACCCATTAGGCACCATGAAAATCTAAACCCAAACTCAAAACCCGAACTCAAAAATGGTTGGAATCTGCTTCTAATAAGGGGAAAAGGACTGCCTCGCCAAGGCCTACGATAAACGCTAAGGCATTATGGCATTTTATAAAGGGGAAAAAGGTTAATTTGAGAGAAGAAGGGTGGCAGCCATGGAAGAGCTATAGGATCTGATTTCCAACAGTGTAAAAGAAGGGGAAATGAAATGATTTAATTTTATAACCCCCTATTTATAGTAAAACCCTAAAAGTACCCCGCCAGGTCCTGAAAAGTGGAATTTGCGTAGACGCGCTCAAACAGTAAAACACCGTGAAAGAAAAAGAACCAAAATGACAAAAAAAAAAAAAATGAACAATGGAAACTAAAGAGGGCTGCGCGTTATAAGGCGGTTAAGGAACTCGGCGATGACTACGCAATTCGGAAACGGCGTCAAAAATCGAATCCCGTACAGAAAGATATGCCCCGAACAAGTTCGTAGCCAACCGGGGTCGAAAACCATAAAACTGGGGAAAATGGCCGTGAGGAAATTCTAAGAGTACGTAACTCGATGAAAAGTTAAAATGAATCCCGTACAAGGATCCAGGCACAAAACAAGGCAATTTGCAATAACTCTCGTTAATTGCACTATGGCCCCTACAAAAGGGATAACTGCAAAACTGCCCAGAATGAAAATATCTTCCAAAAGATATTTTCTTAAAAACTCGTAATCAAAATATCTCCAAAAGATATTTATGAAAAATACCCCAAGAAACATCAATGTTTCTGAAGAATCCTTTCAACCACGCCCCTACGAAAGAAAGAAACAACCGGCGAGCTTTTCTCCAAAAGTAAAGCTACTCGTTTCAAATAAATCAACTGAAATGAAAAATTATGAAGTCAAAACTAACTCTAAACACAGAAAGTGAGGTTGTGCCTACAAAGTGACAAACGGGAAAAGGACGAAAAGTAAATAGTGTCAAAAAATGAAAATGTGGAAATGACTTGGTTTCAACGGGGAAAAAAAAAAAAAAATCCGTAACATTTGAGAAAAATGAAAGGAATGAAAATGACCAGGTCATTACAACCAGAATTGATAAAGCCAGAATGGTCCTCTGGAACTGGAAAAGTTAAAAATAATGAGGTCTGATAGACCCCTGTATAACGAAGCTAGAAAGAACGGGGCTAAGGCCATTATTCTACCTTTGGACAATGTTATGGCTAATTGGGTAAGGTCCTTTGTGATTTGAATAGTGGGTATACACAATAAATGCCTACACAACCATAGAAGTAAAAACCCTATATGTTCTTGGTCGTCCACTTCAGTCCCATTTTTTCCTATCATCTCTTTTAAAAATGGGCCATAAGATTGCACATGTGGTTTAACACCCTTTTTGTTCTGGGAAATAAAAGGAGGTATCTGCATCTTGGAGAAGATAATAAATGTTATCTGCTCTCGGTTTCAGGCCCGTTAGAAAATAGGCATTCCTCAAAGTAGGGGACATCATCCCACAGTGCAGGTGTAATGAATTGGTAGTGGGTGACCAAAATTGAAATGACGAAAAGAATAGAGGTTTATCCAAGGTTAGAGGAATCTTACTGAGTTGGATGACATCATAAATGCCTATCCGTTTCCACAACTCCCTTTTTGCCGCTGATACTCGATCCACCTATTCACTCCATTGGGGCATCAGTGGATGCCAATTCCTAATTAAAAGGGCTGGTCTTTTCCTAATTGAAAGGGTTGGTCTTTCCCCTTCTGTGATAAGATATATGGTTTTCAAAAAAGGGATTTATTTTTCGGCTTGAGGAAAAAACAATGATAAATGATGAGGGAATCGAGTGAGAAACACAATGCCAAGTCCCTTAGCGTTCTCTGTAATATCGATTAATGTTAAGATATCAATTTCAAGTACAGGTAGGGTTTTGATGGCAGATTTCGTCAGTTGTGTGTGTGATGTTGGTTCTAGAAAAGGAGTTTTTAAATTCAGATCTGTTTGCTGTTTCTGGGTTTTAGAGGTCATGATTGAAGAAGTGATTGGTTCAATTGCAATTGCAAAAGAATTTTTGAGACGATGCATTATAGTCGAATGAGGAGTTTTTTAGTCGAATGAGGATTTTTTAAGTCAAATGAAGAGTTTTGTGTAAAATGGGAATTAGAGGCGTGTATCAATGGAAGACAAGGAGTTCTGCAAACTTAATGACTGATTGGATAGTTATTTTTGGGAAAATGTAGTAATGATGGTGGTGATAGAGTAGCTTTATGGTGTGAATGTCTTTTTTATTCCAATAGGTGTAATTTAAATTTTAGAACCCTAATTGAAATGGCTACCAAATTTGGGAGGCATTGTTGACATCTATTTTGGTAATTACATAGACAATGACGTGATAGTAGTTTAGACCAAGATGGGGGTCTATTTTACGTGGATTCAAATTGCATGCAAAGGTGGAAAAAATTTGAATTAAGTGGTAGATAGAGATTATTGTTTTAATATTTATCTTTTAGTTGATCTCAGTTACATATTTATTCTTATCTCTATGATTAATATATTTTGAAATTACATTTAGTTGTGTGATAGAGGTGTAATGTAACTAGGATGCTTAAGGGTAAGAGTTTGTTTTACGTATTATTATTCTATAATAATTGTAGAGGCAAGTTGTGTAAGAGGTCCAACACTCTCAGAATCTTTATTTTATTGTTATTGTTTTCTCAAGCTCTTCCCCCATATAGCAACCTTACTATTTATGTCTCTCTCTCTATTTCATTCTATCTCTCTTTCTCTCAATCTCTTTCTCTCTATCTCATTCTATATCTATATTTTATCCCCTTTCTATTCTCTCAACAGTTACTATTTATTCACTTTACTAAAATCCTTTTAACTAAGGTAATTTGAACTCACGAATGAGTATATTTGTTCTTTTTCTCCTATAATCGCCTGGAAGTCAAAATTCTCAAAGAGACTAACATTGACTAAATACACTTGAACCACATTGTTGGTTCTGGCATGCCCGCACACATTAAATTTAGAATCAGCTCTAACCAGCCGATTTTAGCGTCAACACTTGTATACTATATACACATGACTTATGAAGAAAGTATCAACTATATAATTTGTGGGTTTGTAAATTTTCAAGGTCGCCTGTTTCAAATATAAAGAATTATTTCATGATTTGTTTTTGACCTTTTTTATTTTTTATTTTTTAGGAGAGAAGAATTCTAGTCTCATTGAAGTTCATCAATAGAGTTGTAGATAAAAGGAAAGAAGGTGAATTAACGATTAAATAATAATAATGATAATAAAATGAGGAAAGAGAAGGAAGCACAGAAGCACTAACTAATCATTTTGTTAATTAAAATAAGAAGTTGGAGTGCTAAACTATGAACTAATGATATTTTTTCAAGAAAAACGGGCACTGTATATAAAAAATAAAAAATAAAAAATAAAAAAATCTAGACTCTTGTTAGAAGAGTCTTTTGTAAGCATATTTTCATAACATTAATAATAATAATAATAAATCAGAACATTATATCAACACACACAATATATGTATATATATAATCACATATTTATAACTGAAATAGATTTACAAAAATTACTTTTTCATGACAAAAAATTGACTAAAATAATACATAAGAAGTAAAAAAAAAAAAAAGAACGGAATGATAAGGATTGCTTATGCAACTAATTGAGATAGTTTGATTATTTGCCCTTGGCGCTAATTTTTTTTTTTTTTAAAAAAAAAAAAAAGGATATCAAAACATTATACAAAAATTAAAATAAAATAAAATAAAATTTCAGAACATCATAGTATGAAATCTAACAATACAATACCAAAAGAAGAAAGTATCAAACTTTGCTTCTATAAAACTAAAAAATAATATTTAAAGTTTAATTGAATAAGGTGTCAAACTTAAGAAGGATAAATAAATTTAGAAAATAACTTTAAACAAATATCTGTAAGAGAAAATTCATAAAACAAATTTCACAATAACTAAAAGGTGTTTTCACTATAAAAAGTTTTATAAAAATCAAAAGTTGGAGAAGAAGGTGTTGTACTAGCCTAGAAAAAGGATCTTCCCCTCTGCTTTGCTTTTCTTCAGCCCTTTCATGATAATTCTCTAATTATAATAAAAAAAAATGATTTAGTTGTTGATCCGTATCATAATACTAATTTGATTTCTGTAACAAAGATGGAAATTCCTTATTTTATTTTAGTTGAACTTTACTCATTGGTAGTTTTGACTTTTGTTTTAGTTGAACTTTATTTATTGGTATTTTATTTTAATTATGTTATTATATTATTTATGAAATAATGATTTCAAACACCTTAACCCTACTTATTGGTATTTTATTTAAAACATCCTAAGTTCCTAACTCCTCTTGGACCTTTAATAATAATATATAGATAGATAGATATAGGTGCACAAAAAGAAGTGGATGAGATAATCAAATTACACAGATGATTGAATTCCAAAGGTCACAAGGGTAAATGGCTATGATACAAATGGTAAGCCTGAAGCAGTCGAAAGTGTGTTGACTGAC